CAGTGCTCCTGTCTGCCTCGCCGACTGCTGTGAGTTTGTTTGCTTCGAGACTGTAAGCTCCGTCTAAGCCTCGTATTAGCTTCGTATTTCTTTCTGTTTTGAACCATCATTTACTATCATTTCTAGTTGTTTATATACTACTAAATACAGCATACCCAACATCCCAGATTAACCTGATATCGCTAGCTTCCGTTATTGTTAGCACAACTTGCTAGTAACTCGCTAGCCTGTTAACGCGCCACCCATGCGCTCAGTTATTTAGTTATTTATTTTTCTCGCGCGGGCGCCTTTGAGTTCATAAAAAGCCTAGGTGAGCGGCTAACGCTAGTGAGACAGTGAGTGGCTAACGCTAGTGAGACTGTGAGCGGTTAACGCTAGTGAGACAGTGAGCGGCTAACGCTAGTGAGACGAGACAGTGAGCGGTTAACGCTAGTGAGACAGTGAGCGGCTAACGCTAGTGAGACGAGACAGTGAGCGGCTAACGCTAGTGAGACAGTGAGCGGCTAACGCTAGTGAGACTGTTAGCGGTTAACGCTAGTGAGACAGTGAGCGGCTAACGCTAGTGAGACTGTGAGCGGTTAACGCTAGTGAGACAGTGAGCGGCTAACGCTAGTGAGACAGTGAGCAGCTAACGCTAGTGAGACGAGACAGTGAGCGGCTAACGCTAGTGAGACAGTGAGCGGCTAACGCTAGTGAGACAGTGAGCGGCTAACGCTAGTAAGACAGTGAGCGGCTAACGCTAGTAAGACAGTGAGCGGCTAACGCTAGTAAGACAGTGAGCGGCTAACGCTAGTAAGACAGTGAGCGGCTAACGCTAGTGAGACAGTGAGCGGCTAACGCTAGTGAGACAGTGAGCGGCTAACGCTAGTGAGACAGTGAGCGGCTAACGCTAGTGAGACAGTGAGCGGCTAACGCTAGTGAGACAGTGAGCGGCTAACGCTAGTGAGACAGTGAGCGGCTAACGCTAGTGAGACAGTGAGCGGCTAACGCTAGTAAGACAGTGAGCGGCTAACGCTAGTAAGACAGTGAGCGGCTAACGCTAGTAAGACAGTGAGCAGCTAACGCTAGTAAGACAGTGAGCGGCTAACGCTAGTAAGACAGTGAGCAGCTAACGCTAGTAAGACAGTGAGCGGCTAACGCTAGTAAGACAGTGAGCGGCTAACGCTAGTAAGACAGTGAGCAGCTAACGCTAGTAAGACAGTGAGCAGCTAACGCTAGTAAGACAGTGAGCGGCTAACGCTAGTAAGACAGTGAGCGGCTAACGCTAGTAAGACAGTGAGCGGCTAACGCTAGTAAGACAGTGAGCGGCTAACGCTAGTAAGACAGTGAGCGGCTAACGCTAGTAAGACAGTGAGCGGCTAACGCTAGTAAGACAGTGAGCGGATAACGCTAGTAAGACAGTGAGCGGCTAACGCTAGTAAGACAGTGAGCGGATAACGCTATGCGACAGTGAGCGGCTAACGCTAGTAAGACAGTGAGCAGCTAACGCTAGTGAGACAGTGAGCGGATAACGCTATGCGACAGTGAGCGGCTAACGCTAGTAAGACAGTGAGCGGCTAACGCTAGTGAGACAGTGAGCGGCTAACGCTAGTAAGACAGTGAGCGGCTAACGCTAGTAAGACAGTGAGCGGCTAACGCTAGTAAGACAGTGAGCGGATAACGCTATGCGACAGTGAGCGGCTGTACCTCCTCCAGGTCCATCTCGTCTGGGCTCTTCAGATGGCGGATCACTCCGCGGGCTCTCTTCAGAGGAACCACCACCACATAGATGTTCCTGCCGGCACAGACGCAACACGAGGGTTAGTTAGTTCTCAGGATCTCATCAAGCACACGAGCTGCACACTAATAACGTGTGTGCATGTCCTGCATGACGTGACGTGTGTTTGTGTGCATGTCCTGCATGACGTGACGTGTGTTTGTGTGCATGTCCAGCATGACGTGACGTGTGTGTGTGTGCATGTCCTGCATGACGTGACGTGTGTGTGTGCGCATGTCCTGCATGACGTGACGTGTGTGTGTGCGCATGTCCAGCATGACGTGACATGACGTGTGTGTGGGCGCATGTCCTGCATGACGTGACGTGTGTGTGTGTGTGTGTGCATGTCCTGCATGACGTGACATGACGTGTGTGTGCATGTCCTGCATGACGTGACGTGACGTGTGTGTGGGCGCATGTCCTGCATGACGTGACGTGTGTGTGTGTGTGCATGTCCTGCATGACGTGACGTGACGTGTGTGTGTGCATGTCCAGCATGACGTGACATGACGTGTGTGTGTGCATGTCCTGCATGACGTGACGTGACGTGTGTGTGTGCATGTCCTGCATGACGTGACGTGACGTGTGTGTGTGCATGTCCTGCATGACGTGATGTGTGTGTGTGTGCATGTCCAACATGACGTGACGTGTGTGTGTGCGCATGTCCTGCATGACGTGACGTGTGTGTGTGTGTGCATGTCCTGCATGACGTGACGTGACGTGTGTGTGTGCATGTCCAGCATGACGTGACATGACGTGTGTGTGGGCGCATGTCCTGCATGACGTGACATGACGTGTGTGTGGGCGCATGTCCTGCATGACGTGATGTGTGTGTGTGTGCATGTCCAACATGACGTGACGTGTGTGTGTGCGCATGTCCTGCATGACGTGACGTGTGTGTGTGCGCATGTCCAGCATGACGTGACATGACGTGTGTGTGGGCGCATGTCCTGCATGACGTGACGTGTGTGTGTGTGTGCATGTCCTGCATGACGTGACGTGACGTGTGTGTGTGCATGTCCTGCATGACGTGACGTGACGTGTGTGTGGGCGCATGTCCTGCATGACGTGACGTGTGTGTGTGTGTGCATGTCCTGCATGACGTGACGTGACGTGTGTGTGTGCATGTCCAGCATGACGTGACATGACGTGTGTGTGGGCGCATGTCCTGCATGACGTGACGTGACGTGTGTGTGTGCATGTCCAGCATGACGTGACATGACGTGTGTGTGGGCGCATGTCCTGCATGACGTGACGTGTGTGTGTGTGTGCATGTCCTGCATGACGTGACGTGACGTGTGTGTGTGCATGTCCAGCATGACGTGACATGACGTGTGTGTGGGCGCATGTCCTGCATGACGTGACGTGACGTGTGTGTGTGCATGTCCAGCATGACGTGACATGACGTGTGTGTGGGCGCATGTCCTGCATGACGTGACGTGACGTGTGTGTGCATGTCCTGCATGACGTGACGTGACGTGTGTGTGTGCATGTCCAGCATGACGTGACATGACGTGTGTGTGTGTGTGCATGTCCTGCATGACGTGACGTGACGTGTGTGTGCATGTCCTGCATGACGTGACGTGACGTGTGTGTGTGCATGTCCAGCATGACGTGACGTGTGTGTGCTGAGTGAGCTCCGCACCTGACGTGGCTCCGGGTGTCCAGCGAGGGCAGGATGATGGTGACTGTGGCCTCGGCTTCTCGCGTGAGGTCCAGCTCGGGCCGGCGGATCAGGATGGGTGGCGAGGTCTTGGCGTGGATGCGGTGTCTCAGTCCTCCCATGTTCCCCTCGGGACTGGTGATCTTGAAGTCGTAACTGGTGTCCGGCTGAAGGTTGGGAATCACCGCTTTCCTCAGACGAGCGTCCACCTCCATCTTCTGCCGGTTATACTCCACCTGAGGACCAGAGGAGCGTTCCAAGAGTCAGAAACTCAAGAGCCTCCAAACACTGTCGTGTGAATGAGCGGCCGGAACACATTAACAGTGTCTGTCTTCAGTAGAGCGGTGTCGTGTTAGCGGCCGCTAAGTTAATCACTAATGATCTTTACAACGGAAGTGAATCAAAACTAACTTTAGCTGGACAATAACTTCCTCTCTGATGACACTCACACACACACACACACACATACACACACTCACACACACACACACACACACACACACACACACACACACACACACACTCACACTCACACACACACACACACACACACACACTCACACACACACTCACACTCACACACACACACACACACACACACACTCACACTCACACTCACACACACACACACACACACACACACTCACACACACTCACACTCACACACACACACACACACACACACTCACACTCACACTCACACACACACACACACACACTCACACTCACACACACAGACTCACACACACACACACACGTCTCGTTCGCTATCTTTGTGGGGACTCTCCATAGACGTAATGGTTTTTATACTGCACAAACTATATATTCTGTCTCCTTACACTAACCCAACCCCTAAACCTACCCATCACACACACACACAATAGTATTTAAACACACCTCCTTGTTTGAGTGCCACGCCCACATTTCAACATAACTTAACTAACTCACGGTGAAGCGATAGGGGGCGCTGTTCTCCGGGAACTCCCACGTCAGCAACACACTCGTCTTCGTCGCCAGATTCACAGAGAAGTTCCTCGGCACGTCTGTCCGAAAACACACACAGACGAACAACACGTGAGACTGGCGTACTCAAAGAACTTCCACACACACACACACACACACACACTGGGCGGTGAGGGAGCCGCGTGCGCCGAGGCCTGTGCAGGGAATAGTGTGTGTGATGCTGAAGGTATGGCGGACACAGGTGTGGCTGATCCACCGAGAGCCGACACACATTCACTCGCTGCGGATCAAGGTTATTCAGGAGGAAGGAAGTCGAGAGGTGAGACATAAACCCCAAACACACACAAACAAACACTTATTTTATATGTGCCACACCACAAACTGGACTGGGAAGTGTTAGGAAATGTAGGAAGTGAAGGAACTCAAAGTAGAGGATGAAAAGAAAACGTCTCTAGTCTTACTATGAATTCAAGTGCTCGTCCTCCGATGGACTGTGACTGACACCTGTCACTTACCTCGAAACTCCGCCCCCTAACGGCTGGCTGAGTGTTACCTGTGCTCCGCCCACATTCACATCTCCACTGTGATTGGTTGGGTGGGGTTGGTTGTGGGTGGGGT